GTATCTGCTAGAAAGAAAATGGGGTTTGATATTGAGAAAAGAGAAAAGAAGTATGAAAAATCAGAGAAAATCCAAGGAATTGTATAATTTTCTTCAATGTTATTAGCTATTTTCCATTCATTTAGAGCAGCATTTTTTTTTATTCATATTTCATGACAAGATGTGGAAATATCATAATAAAATGATAACAAAAGACCATGTGATAAACTTTTTGAAGATAGGTAAGCTGTTACTTTGTCAAATAGGAATGTTAGTACTATGCCTTTAAGTCAAGAAACTAAAATTTATTTGAAGTAAATGACAGATTCTAAATGATATTTAATGATATTTCTTATATAAATGAATCATTCTTAAGAGTGTTTAATTTAATGAGTTGTGTTATAAAGATCAATTTATAAAAGACAACTAAATCATGAAGAGTTGATTCATTTTTTAGACAAAGTTAGAGATGTTCAAAATCTTCAGTTTAAGAGTGATAATGAAAACATTGTAGTGAAATATATGTATCAGGAATTTGAGTATGAATAACTTTTAATGTAAAAAGCATTTGGAGTAGCATTTGATTTTAAATTTCTTTTTGAAGTATCCTATAAAAGACATTTTTGAGCAGATTATTTGTCATTAAAAATTTTGAAAAGAAGAGACCAATCTATGAATTTGTTATGATATTTATTCAAATGAGGTAGTGAAAACAGTGATTCAGCCCAAACAGCTTGCTTTTTATTTTTAATAAACATATGGTGAGGAGCTATAATTGGAGTTGGATTATGGCAAAGAAAATATCCTGAGTCCAAATGTTCATTGTTGATAAATAATTGTTGAGCAGGTACTTGCTTTGCTAATTTGTCAACAATATTATTGAAGGGATCATTACTATGGACTTATATTTTGGTGAATGAAATAAAAATATTATTGTGCGATAAGGCTAAATAACATAGACCGAATGTGAAAGTAAGGAATTTTAAAAGCAGGATTGATGGATAAGGAGTTACAGAAAAGGAAAGAAAGTTTATGAAAAGAGGAGATAGCAGTTTATGAATCTGTACAAATTTCAATTTTAGCATTTGAGGGTAAGACGTAAATTGCTGCTAAAATAGTGACAATTTCTGCAAGGATAAAAGAGGGACTTTGTGAAGAAAGGGTGACATTGAAAGAAAGTGAGGGCCAATCTAGATTAGTTTGTAACCATACTATACCCAACTGGCAGTTTGAAGAACCTAGAAAAATTAAAGAACTATCTGTATAGAATTTGAGAGAAAAATTAGAAGTAAAGTTAGATTTAAGAATATTAAGTAAATTAATTGAGCAAACGTCAAACGGCAAAATATTTAAATCTGGCAAAAGCCTTATTAGATATTGATATGGGTTAGTAAGTTTAGATAATGCAACCTCTCTTAACATAAGATCAGAAAGACTGCATCTCCATCCTATATGTTTGTTATATTAGATCTTGATTTCTATACAGTAAACATTCTTTCAAATAGTAATAGCAATTGCTGGGTATCGAAAAAGTTACATCTGTTATATAAATTAATATTTGCTCTGAAGTTAAAGTCATATGTAGCTATATAATGTTGTGTATAAATTGTGTCATTTTTTATAGGCATGATTTTCCTCCATTCATAATTAAGTTTAACAAAAAAATGTCTAAATATATGAAGAAATCCTTCTGACTTTTTATTAAACTGGAAAAAATATCAGTCTCAGAAGAATAAAAAAAAATAAAAATAAAGGTTTCCCAGAGATGAACAAAATACAATTTTCGAATTAATATCTCAAATGCATTACTTTTTTATAAGGTGCATGAATATGCTTTTTATTTTAATTAGGCGAAGACTTTACTAAATTTCGTTATCATTAGATACTAAAAATATTCCGTGCATTCGAAAAAATTATTCCTGATACATTAATTATAAGGAATTCAGGAAAAAAATAAAAATACATGATTCGGCTTTACAAAGTGAAATGTTCACTTCATAATCCGGTCTTATTTTTTCTAATCATTGAGATATGAATAAATCACTAAGAATACCCCGCTAAGTTTATCTCCTTGAAGTTGTTTCCCTGCAAAAAGTACAGCCCCATCATACTAGAATTTTCTTCAATAGACTTGTAATTTTTCTCACATGAAAATTTGCGTTAGTTAATCTATAAAGTTTAATAAATTATTTTTTTATAATTATTACTTTTCTTTTTTTTGATCATTTTTTTTTTTAAAAAAAAAAAAAACAAAAATTTGAGATATATAAATAAAAACCAACCACGTTTAATAGTTTAAAAAATTACCACAAAAAAAAAAAAAAATGAGTTTTTCAAAAACCTTCAAACAAATATTTTCTAGAAAATCATCCGTCAGTGAGAAATATTTTTTGGATATAGTAGGCATTTATTTTATACTAATTATAACTTTTGTCTACAATATGATTGCTGTCCTGTAGATTTTGATAAAAGATTTAATGAAGAAAACAGGAAATTAATTTCCCAATAGGCAAAAGAATTGAGGGCTCTTCGGAAAAAAACTGACCTTAACGTTCAAAATGACGAATTATACGAAGACTCTTTATTAATCATAAAATGGAATCTGGCTGGGCTAGTCCATAGAAATAACCTACATGGAATTAAAGATGGTCCCCATAATTATTTTCAAATTTCAATTGAGTTGCAACTTAATTGCGCCATAAGGAAATTTAATTGCGCCACAAGTTGCAACTCAATTGCGCCATTTTTTTTAATTGTGGTGACCATCTTTATATGGAATTAACGCTATAAACACACTTGCTGCATGTATATTTATAAATTATCAAGGTTATTTGTATTTATCATTAATTTTTTGAGGTTCTTTCTAATTTGGTTTTTTTTAGTAATTCGTGACCAATCAGGATGTGTACCATTTCCAAAAGGCACACCATCTGATTCCGCCTTTTCCTTTGTCAGGACTCTGAATAGTGGGGCTCACCAAAACTTACATTCATGCATTAGCCAACTTACAACTAGCACCATGCAGTAGTGGAGACATTTTCAAAAAAATCCTGATATTAGTTGTGCGTATATAGTGAGATGCCCTAAAAAGGGAGAACTTGACATTGTCAAGTTCCTCAATGTGTTCAACTTATAATGAGTTGAGTCTGGAATTAACATTGAATTTGTTAATATAAACTAATTGATTAAAAATTTGCTTGTACTTTGCACGAAAATAAAATTATACTTTATTGAAAATCATTTTTTGATTTTTTTTTTGTTATCATAAAGATTGTTACGTCAATAATCCAGGAATATTTGGTTCAAACCAAATGGGAATTTTGTCGCGTACGCCATGTCAATACTTTGAATATATAAAGTGGGTTCACTTTATACTAAGTTCTTGATGACAAAGAGATCGGTTTTCACTATTAAGAAATTGAGGAAATTTAATGTTAGAAAGAAACTCTGTGATGAAATGTTTTCATCTTCAATTTTCTCAGTCTCTAGTTTATATAACAGGATTCATTTAATTTTAGCGAACAAATGTTCATCTTACAATAAACATACGATTTGACAAGGATGGCTCGAAATCATCATGTACATTCAGACTGGAAATGAAATGTTCATTCTAACAACACGTACGAATTGATTTAGTTGCTTCGATTGACAGTAAATTGATGAGGTGTTGTCAAAACAGGATCTAACTCCATCATAAGATTTTAAAGCTTTTCAACGTTCCTCACGAAAAAATCTAACTAAGGCTGTAAAGTTGACAAATTTAGTCGAGAATCAATCCAAGAATGCTTTTTGATGAGATCTCTATGAACAAAATAGACTTGAATTTTTTTTTTTTGATATAAATGGTCGGAACATTTCGTAAAGGTCTTTATTTAATGTATTGAGTACCGTTTCATCATTTCAATGAGCTAAATATTCATCGTTCATTTGAACAATTTCACGAAGTCTCTCTCAACTTTCCCATTATTTTTAATTTTAGCAGTTTTTTGAGTTCCACAAATTGTTTCCTTTATTTCAATACCTCACTCAAAGTGGCAGTTGATATGATTTTCCTCCATTCATAAATTTAAGTTTAATAAAACTTTTTATTAAATTGGAAAAAAAAATATCAGTCATAACTCGAAGAATAAAAAAAAAAAAAAATTTCCTGAGATAAACAAAACTCAATTTTCGCATTAATATCTACTTTTTTGTAAGATGCATGAATATGCTCTTTATTTAAGTAGGCAAAGACTTTACTAAATATCGGTTATCATTTGATACTATAAATATTCCATGCATTCGAAAATTATACATTAGTAAGGATTTCTTTATTGATACAGGAAAAAATCAAAATACATGAATTCCTTTATAAAGTGAAATAAATTTTCTATAATAAATTTACCCCTAATCATTGAGACATTCAACGTCAGAAATAAATCATCCTGCTGAGTTTTATCACAGTGATGCAAATAAGGTCTAATGCAAAAGCCCAGCCCCAATCAAAATCTTCATACTTAAATTCGTTCAGAACTTTCTCTAATAAGAACATCATTAGGATAGACTCGGTAATTTTTCAACCAAAAGATCGCGTTAATTAATAAATTTTGATAAATTATTATTATTTTTTTTTTTTGATATCATTTTATTTAAAATAAAAAAAAAAAGATATATAAATGAAAAGCAACCATATTTAATTTAATAATACGCAAAAAAAAAAAAAAAAAATGAAATTTGCAAGAACTTTCAAGCAAATTTTTTTTAGAAAATCATTCACCGGTGAGAAATATTATTTTTTGGACTAGTAAGAAGTTATGTTTATACTAATTACAACTTTTGTCTACAATATTATTGCTGTCTTGTAGATTTTGGTGCCGAAAGGTTAAATGAAAAAAGAGTGAGAACCCTACAAAAAAATACCAATCCTAACGTGTAAAGCAACGAAGACCCTTTATTAATTATAGAATGGAATCTGAATGGGTTAGTTCATAGAAATAACCTACATAGAATTAACGTTATAAACACAATTGCTGCATGTATGTTTATAAATTTTCAAGGTTATTTGTATTTATCATTAATTTTTTGAGGGTGCTTTCTAATTTGTTTTCTTTATTAGTAATTCGTGGATAACCAGGATGTGTACCATTTCTGCCAAATGATACACCATCTGATTCCATCTTTTTCTTTGTCAAAACTCCGAATGGTGAGGCTCACCAAAACTTACAATCATGCATCAGCCAACTTACAACTAACACCGCGACATACTCAAGGCAATCCTTGATATTGGTCGTGCGTATATAGTGGTATGCCCTAAAAAGGGAGTGTTTGACATTACCGAGTTCCACAATGTGTTTAACGTATAATGAGTTGGTCTGAAATTAACTTTTAGAATTGTTAATATGAACTCGTTGATTATACTTTACGCGAAAATAAAATCAATTTATACTTTATCGACAACCATGTTTTATTTATTTATTTTTGTTATCATATTTAAATTTAAAAGTTGCTACGTCAGTAACCTAGGATTATTCAATTCAAAGCTCTAGAAGTTTTTGTCGCGTGTAAGCGGGTTTCGATTATATTAAGTTCTTGTTGATAGAAGGAGTTTAATTTTAAAAAGAAACACAGTGATGAATCTTCAAATTTTCTCAGTCTCGAGCTCGACAATTCGTTGCTATACGTTTTATAAAACAGGATTCAATGAACAATATTCGTCCAAATGAATTGTGTTAATATTTACAATAACCATACGATTCAACGAGGAATACTCGAACTGGATCGCACATTGGACAACACTTTTGACAAAATCATCTTTTTGCTGTTTAGCGCAAGAAAATCATTAGGATCGTATCCCTTTAGACCGAAAAATGAAATTGTTGCTCTAGCAACAGGTACGAATAAACGTAGATTGATTTGGTGGCTTCGATTGACAGTAAATTGATAGGGTGTTGTCAAGACGGGACTTACACAGATAAGTATTCAGTCAGCCAAAAATTATTTATTTATTTAAAAATTTTGAATATAATTATACGATTTAATACTCAATAGGCCATCCTTGATTCTTAATACATGCTTCAATTCTATGTGGCATGTTTTCTATAAGTTTGATGTAAGTTTCGGAAGGAATTTTTCTCCACTCTTCTTGCAATATTTCTTCAAGTTCATGAAGATTTTTCGGATGTACAGAACGTTTAATGCGCCTTCGTTTAAGTTCATTCCATAAATTCTCAATTGGGTTAAGGTCTGGAGATTGAGAAGGCCAATCAGGAAGCACCTTAACCCGTTTTTGAATAATCCAATTTTTGACATCCTTTGCTTTATGAACTGGAGCATTGTCATTTTGGAATGCATAAGGCTGTTTGTGATGTTTTGATCGAATAAATGGCAATAAATTTTTTTCTAAAATATTAATATAATTTAACCGGTTCATTTTTCCCTCAACTTTTACCAATGGTCCTAATCCTTTTCCTGAAAAACATCCCCATACCATGATGCCACCACCACCATGTTTGACTGTAGGAGTCAAATTTTCAATATCATATCGGGTACCATTTTTTCGCCAAACACGATTAGGCTCATCATTTTCAAACAGTGATTTATCACTCCAAATCACACTTTTCCATTTTTGGATTGACCAATTTTGCCGCTCCATACACCATTTTAATCGATTTTTGCGTTGAGATTCTGTAAGAAGTGGCTTTGGCGCAGCAATTCGTGAGTGAATTCCCATTTGATGAAGAGATTTCCGAATAGTACCTAATGAAACTTTCTTGTCTCTTGAATCCTGAAAATTGTGCTGAATTTCACTAAGAGAAGATCGATTATTCTTTTTTATAATTTCCTTTAATGTGCGATTATCATCATTATTCATGGAAAGTGGCCTTCCGGGTCTTTTAGCGCTTAATCCATCATTGGAAGCATGTCAGGAAATTGTATCTGTAATAATGCTTTTAGGAATATTTAAAATACGAGCAATAGCTTCATGAGTTCTTCCAGCTTTACGTAAACCAATTACTTTTCCGCGTTCAAACTCATTTAATTCGCGATATTTTCCCATGTCGATTGGCGCAGTTTTTTTAAAAAAAGCAAAATCGGAGTTGTTTATGTTTTTGTTTATTAAAACTGATCTACGTATTGTTACACAAATATAAACATATGTACGTTATCGTCAAAACCAGGAGGTTTATTTAAAAAAAAAATTTTATTTAGTTAATATATCCGATCTTGAGAAATTTAAAAAAAGCTTGACCGGATACTTTTTGGAGGGTAGTGTAACTCCATTATAAGAGTTTAAAGCTTTTCACTGGGAACACCGTCAATTTAGAATCTTCCGTTTCGCCGCTAAGGCATTATAGTTGACAAATTTAGCCGAGAATCAATCCGAGAATGCGTTTTGATGGGATCACTATGAACAAAGTAGACTTGAATCTTTTTTTTTTGATCTAAATGATCGGAGCATTTCGCAAAGGTCTTGATCGTCTTTTAGGGGACTATTTTCCGTTTATCGATTAACGTGTTGAGTACCGATTCATCATTTCGATATTCACTGTTCATTTGAACAACTTCACGAAAGTTTCTCTCAACATTTCCCATTATTTTTTAATGTAATGGGACAGACTTATTGAGCAATTTTTGAGTTCCGACAATTGTTCCCTTCGCTCGACGAATATTTTGCATGGAGGTATAAATTTATAAGCCTGTTCAACGAATTTTTCACTTGATGAAATTAATGAACCCGGGTGTCTAATAACTTTTTTGTTGTCCGACAAGCTCGTCCCTAACTATATCGATAAGGAAAAAGGTTGCTACTTCTTTATATTATTATTATTATTTTATTTTTAACATCTTTAATTTGTTGAGCATTGATGTCAGATGTCAACATTTTTGTGATTATTTTCTATTTCTAATTCTGATTATTTATAATAATACTAATTTAAAAAAAGTTTAACAATTTCCATAAATGGATCATAATTAAAAAGGGATGATCATCAATTCGTTGTATATAAAGATGTGAAAATTCATATTTTTTGCCTAAAATCAATTTAATCATGGACGATCCAAACGCAGATACTGAATGGTAATTAAAAACAAATTCTTTTAAAAAAAGAGATTGAATTAAAGAATTAATATGTTATAGGAACGATATTCTTCGAGATCGCGGTATCCTTCCTCCAATAGAAGGACCTACAGAAGAAGAAATATTTGAAGAAATGGATAAAGTTATTCGTGAAAATCAGGATAAACATTTGGAAGATAAAACATTGGATGAATTGGACGAATTGGAAGATGAAGAGGATGATCGAGTATTAATGGAATATCGGTGAGATTCTTATTTTTATTGGAACGTTTGACTTTTTAAAAATTAATTTACAGTTTTTGATCATATAGACAAAAGAGAATAGCGGAGATGAAAGTCGAAGCATCAGGTGAAAAGTTTGGTCAGGTAATTCATATATCAAAACCCGACTTTATAAAAGAAGTAACGGAAGCAAGTAAAGAAGTTTGGGTGGTCGTACATTTGTTCAACGAACCGTATGTGTAATAAATATTATGAGAAATCTTTTGATTTTATTGTTAATATATTAATACTTTTATAGAATTCCAGAATGTAAACTAATGAATAGACATTTATCAACACTTGCAGAAAAATACAAAGCAATTAAATTCGTAAAGATAATTGGAGATCAATGTATACCAAATTATCCAGATAGGAATTTACCCACTCTGTTAATATATGGTTATGGTGACCTTAAAGTACAGCTTGTGGGCATATCTCAATTAGGAGGAATGAATGTGACTCCTCAAGGTATTTCTTTATTTGTCAATACCGAATCTTTGCCTTTGAGTTAACATTTTTTGTATTTATAGCCCTAGAAAATTATCTAATTTCTATTGGCGTTATTGAGGATTCCAACAAAAGTGCCGTGAAAAAAGATGATTATTCTACACAAAAAATAATTAGAAACCCGGCAACTGTTGCCTTAAGTGATGAGGACGAAACTGACGATGATTAATTATTTTAATCCTTAATTTCTGATCAACTTGACGATTAACTGTATTGGAATACAATGTATTTCTTTTAAAAAACATCAATTTCAATTCGCAATCCACAAGTTTTACAGCATTGGGTAGTTGCTCCAGTTTCTGTATCTTCTTCAACCTCTCCAAATTCGTGCTTATGTTCCTTTCGTCTGTTTTTCTCTAAAATTTCTGTTCTAGTGCGTCTTCGGAGATCTATAGAAAACAGCTTTATTAATTTATGGCGTTATTTAATAAATATTAATATAAATTTACACAGTTACTTGCCCGCCAGTTTCGTTTTGAATTTTTTATCCTTCCGTTTCTTTTTGATATCTTCTCTCCTCTCATATTCTTGGTCGAGCCCTTCCTCACCTCCCCATTTTTTGAACGCGAATTCCTCGACCTGTTCTCTGAGGAACAACATCATATTATTCCAGGTTGCCTTGTGTGGATTTGGTTTAGATAAATGTGGTAAAACCTCAACATCTTTCAATTCAGCTAAATGATTATAAACAGCAAAGAGTTTTCTTTTGGAATCAATAATAATAATAATAAAAAGGAAATCAATAATAATAAAAAAAAAATACATACCATCCGTTAATAGATAATCCTGAATTTTTAAAAAAAAAAAAATTAGTAAATCGATATATTTAAAGGAAGTTTTGATGAAAATTTACCTCCTTTGCCTCAGTCTTGGTTATTAAGCTATATTTTTCCGGATATTTCTCCTTACATTTCTTACATACGTTGACTTTAAAAGTCTTACGAAACAAGTTATCTAATTCTAACGAATGGCATTCTTTACATTTTGGATTTTCAGCTGGATCAATGCTTATGGCTACAAAATAAAAATGAAAAACTTAATTAATCATCATGTATTTAAAAAGATTTCGTTTTTCAATAGTTTTGTTACATGGTTCTAAAGCATCAAATTCAGGTTCGGGAGGTTCCCACTTTCGTTTTTTAGAATTTTCATTTTCTTCCTCCAAAAGAAAACCTCCACGAGTATCTTTCATTTTTGAAAAGTCATATTCTGCATAGTTTTGAAATTTTTTCATGGGACGTAATTTTTTTTCTTCAGTGTTATCTCCATTATTTGTGGTGGTTCCTTGTATGTCCTTTTGTTCGGTTCTGGAAGTTGAATTATTATGTTCTTGCTGTTTCTGTTTTTCCCTTAGTGCCAGTGCTTTCAATCGATTGTTTTCTATACGCTTAATTTGTTCAGGAGTTAGAGTAATAACGTGTGTTATATCAGAATTTAAAGTCTTTTCTTGAGAAGTCATTTTCTTTTATAAAAAATTGATATTAAATTTCGTTGATTTATGCGAATTATGCAATCAAAATTTTGACTATCGATAATTGGAGTGGATCATCGTTGATCCTGCGGTGCCACACCCCTTTTTATGTTAAACAAACATCTACATATAGAATGACACGAGTCTTCCTATCAGAATATATATATAGTTTTAAATGTTAACACCGCCCAATTAATAAATAATTAATTAATTTTAGTCAAAGTTTTTTTTCATTTTTGAAGTTTTAATGATCATTATCTTTCTTTATAATGGAGCCTTGTCCAGAAGTTTACCAAAACAATGAAGAACCTGACGACTCTGTTGTTCGTCAGTTGGTACTAGACTACCTCATACATAATTGTTATGGCGAAACCGCCAAAGTTTTTTTTAAAGATGCTTTGAATGTAGGTGAACCTAGCATTGAACTTAGCTCAAACGGATCTCAGAATGGCTCAGCAAGTGGCACCGTTCGTAACGATAATAATTCACTCGTCTCTATTGATGCTATTGAAGTAGACGAAGATGGGGATTGCGAAATGGTTGATTCAAATAAAGAGGAATATATGGATATTGATTCCGCCAATGAATCAATATATAAAGAAGTTAAGGCTTCGAATCTCCTTGAAGTATTGAAGAAGAATCAAACGAATAATGGAAATGGCGAGAGCTTTAATTCTGAATTTGCTCTAAAAAGTTTAGAAACAAGAAAAAGTAAGTGGATAATTTAAAATTTTTTTTTTTTACATTTGTTTTCGCGCATTTCATTTCATTTTGTGTGATCTATGAACTAGAAACCTAGGTTTTTTTGTCTTTTCTTTTTTTGTACGAAGAAATCCGCCAATTTATAATAGCTGGTAGTATTAATGAAGCCTTAGCATTATGTCGAGATAAATTTCCCCATGTTGTGTCTTCAGATGAACAAGACATTAGAACTTCCCCGCGTTCAATTGATATATGTTTCAAGCTTCAATGTCAACAGTTTATCGAGACAGTTCGTGCTGGGAATCCGATCGAAGCTTTATTATTCGCTCAATCAGTATTAACAAGTTTTCCCATAAAGAAGGGAGCTAATGCGGAAAAGTTTAACGCAGAACTTAGTTCCGTGAGTGCATTAATCGCATATGAAAATCCAGAAAAGTCACCAGTAGGGTCATTATTGGCTCAAGAACATCGAGATAAGTTGGCAAATGAAATTAATAGTGCCATTCTATGTATGATTCATTTCATTTTTTTTGATTAATTCAAGAATCAGTGAAATTTTTTTTTTTTTTTTTTGATCATTAATGTAATTTTTTCACTTTCTTCGTCTTAGCCTTTGATTATCATGCGGGCGAATCGGCACTTGAAAGGATTGTGAAGCAAGCGACATTGGTGCGAGAACATTTGCATAACGTAATGTCTAGAGGACAAAAAAATAGCAAGGTATATCCAACATGATGAATAGGCTCGAAATTTTTCTTCCTGGAAGTCAATTATCCCAATCTCGTTTCGTGCGAACACTTACTATTCAGGTGTACGCGAAATGGCAACTTTCTACGTTTATTCAAGAGGGCAGTTGAAAAAATCTCCGAATTCACTTTTACCGAAACCGCGAAAAATTACCGACTTTTAATTATTTATCCCAGTGAGTTATTTATTCCAATCAAAAACAATTTCTTTTTTTTTTTTTTTTTTTTTTGAATTTCAAGATTTTTGCAAAGTTATAGTATTCCTTTAATTAATGAATCCAGTATTCCAAAAACTTACTTAGATATAGTTTACATTTTTTTTTTTTTTTTGGTGAAGGAAATATTTTCGTTTTGTAAAAAATTTTAGCATTTTTCTTTGCTTGGTTCTAAATTAAATCATTACATGTTCGTTATAGAACCAAAACTATTTACGAACTGTATGATAAGAAATATTTTTATCGATGGCTAATTTATTAACGGAAATATGTCAAACCCACGCATTTCAGTATATTGATTTGGTAAATAAATAAATTTTCAGGTAAAATATTTTGGCTTATTTTTGTTAATCATTCTTCCCTCCCTTTTTGTATAATAAATAATAAATAATATATATAATTTCAAAATTCCGTGATATTTACTGTTCAAATGAATGAAATAAGCTTTGGAACTACAAAAGAAAAAATTAATTATCATGTAAAGAATACAAGTTATTATTATTATTATATAAATTAAAAGGTGGTATTACTTACATCGTCGATGGATCATAAAAAACGAAATTTTTTTTTTTAAAAAAGAAAACAGAGCTAATCTACTCTACTCAATCTACCCAAACTACCTAGCTTTTCCTATGAACCATTTTCCTTTATAGAAAGTTCTTGCTGTTCATGATTGTTTTTCACCCTAAAATGAAAATACATTTATAATAGTTAGGAATTGAACTAATAAAATTGAAGTTTTTACTGTTCATATCCACCTTTCAATACTAAATTTCCAAATGTTGTTGGTTCTTGCTTTAAAATGAAACCAACAACTTCGCTTTACAAGAGTCATGTTACAATTGAAAGAAGAAAAACACATAGTTAACCGCAATTAAGATCAAATAATTATTTGACACGGATCTTCATACATTACAACTTCTTTTCTTCCCATCCTTGTTTTACTCGACTTACGTATCCAATATGTATACCATTATATGCTCGCCTTTTTCAATGGTACCATCCTGTCATTCTAAGGATTACAACATATACACTAGATGGATAAATTCAAGCGAATTTACCAATATATGATTGACTCTTTCATTGATCTCGTCCTTGAATTTTTTTTAAAGAATGTCAAAATAAATGCACTAATTTAAATTAAAAAAAAATTTATCGATGGTACAATTGTTTCCAAAATTGGTTTCCAAAAAAGTCAATTAATTTTTATGAATCATGTGATTTGGTATTTCTAATGGAACTGTCAATTTTGACTGAAATTAAATTGATTTTTAATTTCAGATAATCTAGTATCTGAAATCACACCTTTTTATTTCGAAAGTTTTTGGTATCCATTGTTTGAGTCTCTTTTTTTTTTTTCTTTAAAAAAAAAGTGTATTAGATATTTTTAACCCTTAGAATGATATAAAGGAGGGTCATTAGTCATTTCTTTCGCGTTGAGTTATAAAACTTAAAGGACCTTTGTATATACAGTGTGTATATGCGTCAATCTGCAAAGTGGCGCAGAGAATAGCGCGATGCCTTGAAACAATGAATCAAAGAACCTATAAAAATACTTCAAATTTTTAATTTACCTTTAACAATTTTTCCTCACATGTCACAAGTTTTTGTTATTTTTATTATGTATGACAACAAATGTTTGGGGATTATCACCCACAGTTTGTTTTTCATTTGGAAGGAAAAAGAAAGTTTATTTATTGTTAAAGTTACCTATATTTAGAAAGTTCACAATTGGACTAATCGATTTGAAAGGGAAAAAAAAGATAACAAATCTGAACACAATTTCTCATTAATGAACACATAATGGCGGTGGAACTTTCTAAAAATTTTTTTCTAAAAATTTTTGAGAATTTCAATTTCTTCCTTTTCTTTTCTTTATTTATTATTTTTTTGTATCTTTTTTTTTTTCCTTTCTTTTTTTGAATATTGTTTTACTTGGACTTCTCGAAAACAAAAAATAAAAAAAAAAAAAAATGGATAACCAAACGATTCCAAATTTTTGTTCTATACTAATAAAAGATCTTCGGTGGTAGGTATTTTTATTTTATTTTTTTATCTTATTCTAATTATTAAAATAACTAATGATATAAACTAAGTTTTGATGATAATCTTACGAAATAGTTTCATTGAAAAAAACCAAAAGATGGAGAGAAAATTAACAAAATTAATAAAAACATTTTCACTAAAAGAAACCAACAAGTTACAGTTAGAATTTAAGTATAACAACGAACGAAAAATAACGACTCTATCCCCTTTATCCCCTGCGTAAGTTTCAAAAATTACGTTGTGTTGTGACGTAGCAATCCCAAAAAAAAAAAATTGACAAGAAATTTACTCTAATCTGTAGTAGAATGTCAAATTCAGATACGATAACGGAATCATCATGGAATGAACATATTCATTTTAAACTTGATACATTAAATACTTCCGGAAGTACCGGAAGTAATAAATTGGTTATAACATGTTGGGATTCATCTATTAAAGGACCTGATGGACGTTTAGGAGAGATAGCTATGGAATTAGAAAATTTTGATAAATCGGATGAATTCGATAATAAAAGTAAGCGATCTTTATACGTCGTTGGAAATTTATTTATTTATTTATTTATTTTGTTGATAAAATTAAAAAAAAAAAAAAAAAAAAAAAAAATCGAAAAATATATATATATATATTTTTTTTTTTCAAGTTAATTTAAAGCTTCGAAGTGATGAACCAAAGCCAAAGATTGAATTGAAATTTTATTTATATTTCCTATCAAACGTAAGTCAACAAATTATTACGCGTTCGTTTTATTTAATCCGCAGAAATAAAAATATCTACTAACGTTTTATAAAAATGAATAAAAAGAGACCACCAATTGAAGAGATGAAAATGTTCGAAGATTTGTCACTTCGTAACAAAAGAATCGGGATGATGTTGATAGATAACTTAGAATAGTAATCTTATTTTTCTACTTTATTTTTGTAAATTTTTTTTTTTTTAAAAAACTAGGTACTTAAATTAATACTTGCGATTACCTCATAGCGAGAATTTGTGTGGAAACGCCGGTCCGTTAGGATTTGAATTACGAGAAGAATTTCATTCTACGGCAGAATATTGGCAAATAGATTCACAACAGCAAGAAAAACGATTAGAATGGAAACATCCTATCGGAATGTTTTTGGTAGCAAGGCCCGATAACTTGGTGATCCATTTTAAAAAAAATTTTAATGGATTGGCAAAAACTAAAATAAGTATTGGACCTTCCGGTGAAATGGAATTTATTTGGCCAAGATTAATGAACGGTGGTCCTATAAATGGTATGAACATTTAAAGAATTTTTTTTTTTTAAAAAAAAAAAAAAAAAATATCCTTTTATACTAATTATTACACTTTTTTTAATCAAAATTTTTTTTTTTTTTTTTTTTTTTTAGTTGGAAAACATTCTCTGGTGGAGAAAGGATATAAAATATTAAATATTACATTTGATATATCTTGTCATTCCATAGTTACTTCTAGACATATCTTTGGAAAAGAAAAAGGAAAATCGATTCGACAAGATACAAATGATACATTGTCTTGTTCTGCACCATGTGAATCTTCATCTATTCCATCTTTTAAAGATAACCCTTCGGATCATGATGCAATTCTACAAAAATCAACACCTACAGTTCAAAGACATCAATCGCTTACACATACTAACGCAACACAAACGAAAACAACTTTGGTTCAAAGACAACGATCTTATAAGGATAAATCTGAACAAAAACAAATTGAACAAAATAAGTATCGATCTTCTATGCCAATAAAAGAATATAATTTTAATGATAATAGAGATAATTTATTAAAAAATAATCAATCACATTTACATGAAAGAAGATTTTCACATTCTTCCAGCGACACTTCTAAATCATCAAAGCAAAAAACCGTTGATAAGCGTCAACAAATAAGAAACGACAATTTGTCTATAAATGTTCATTTTCAACAAGAACCACAAGACTATGCCAATAATAACGCTTATCGACCCAAACCATCACCAACATTTGAAAATGAAACAAGACAAGATTTATCACCAATTTCGTCAATTTCGTCTTCACTGAAATATTCACCAGACAACAAAACTCAACCATTAACGATTCCAAATTATAATTTATCAAGAAATATAGAGCAGCATATCAAAGTTGGAAATTCTCCGCCTGTTAGTGTGGGATCTCAATATTGTGAGCATAAAGAAATTCCTTTAGAACCAAAAATGAATACTCAACAGAATCTTCAACAACAATTGCCTCACAATCTTACATTTGGATTTAATCCTTCCACGTTTCAAATCAACAATTCGCAAATTATATTTAATAGATTTGAAATAATTTCTCCGTTGCAAAGAGCAACAACTTCACATAATAAAGTATACCTTGGTCAACATAAGTTTACCAGTGATCAGGTTATAATTAAACAATATAAATCTCATTCAAGATGGGAAAATGAAAAGCGCTTTTTGAAAGAACTCAAGTCGAAACTAATCGTAAAGTTGGAAGATGTAAGTATCAATCCAATCAACGAACAAGATTGTTTAATTGTTACCAAGTATTATGGAAAACCTTTGGATGAAGTAGCAGGAGATATATATGACAATAAGGAATATATAAAAAAGGTATTTTATAACATTTGTTTAGCCGTGGATTGGTGTCATAAGAATGGAGTAGTGGTAAGCAAAATTAAATTTTGACCTATTTCGTTTAATTTTCATATTTACATATTTATACTGTAATTTACTTTTTTTATAGCACATGGATTTAAACCCATCGAATATTATATGCAAAGATAGACTTATTCATAGGATACGTTTATGTGACTTTGAACATGCAAAAAAGGTTGGGGATAAAATTTATTCTCACCATAATCAGGCATTCATAATAGGATTTACGTCTCCAGAATTATTTTATCTTCAAAGACAGCAACCCGTTCCTTCCTCACTACCTTCTTCATATTCTTCTTCTTCATCCAACACCCCTTACACCTCTCAATCTTCTTATTTACCTTGTCTGTCAAGTATAGATATTTTTAGTTTAGGTTGTATATTATACTATTTAAATACAAAAAATTTAATATTTACAACCGAAAAAGATTTGGAACAATTAAATTTAACCAAAGTTTCTGAAAGCATTGAAGATAAACGAGTCTCTATTTTAGTCAAGTGGATGGTAGCTGAAACTGGCAACGAAAGACCTGATACTACACAATTAATTACAAATTCATTCTTTGATTCAATAAGGTAAAAGTGTATTTTAAATTAAAAGGCTTTATGTAAAATGATTATTTGAAGGGTGTAACTTTGTAAATTTGTAAAATAAAACGAATTTAAATAAAAGATAAAAGCGTTAAAATTATTTTGTTCAAATTTCGTGGTTTTGTTAATAAGAAATACTGTCATAAAAAATTCTTGTAAATTTATATATCAATATAAATTTCATATTGTGTACTAAAATACAAATTTAACTTTATGCGCCTTAATCAATTAACCAATAAAATACAAATGTTTTATAATTACAATCGTGTGATAAACAAAATTGATTTGGAGCATTTTTATACGTGTTTCAGTTAAAATCAATACTTGACTCGAATAAAGTAGTATTACAATGATAATGTATTATATTCAGTTTTTTTTTTGAATTGATAGATCCTATCAGAAGAGCTGATGAATGAAGTTACTACTTGGTCAACTAATCTTTCGTTTCGATCATATCAAAGTTTTCATTTATTTGTTTCACAACATAACTTTTTGTTAAATGCTTATTAAAACAAATCATTAATATGATATAATAAAAGCGCGTGATCGTTGTAGAAATCTCAAAACCTCTATGAAAAAAGTAAATATGGTGAAAGGGTTGTACAAATAATGCAGGCAAAATTTATACGAATAGTTATTGTTATTTTTTGTTATTTTTTGTTATTTTTTTGAGTAGTATATATCAAATAATCACATGGGAAGATTTCTAGGAAAATCAGGTTCCGAGAAATTTTTGAGAGTTAATGCATTTTAATAAAAATCTCAAAATTCCCGGAACCTGATTTTCCTAGCAATTAACCCACATAATATTCAACAATATATTCTTTATAACAATTCAGTAATCATTGTTTATGAAACAAGTAATTTCGCGACGAAATGCATCAGGTTTTATAAAACAATCTTTGTGGAACATTTGAGACGACGTGATAGTACTAGTTCAAAAAAAAAATTCTAATACTGAATATGGCTTAATTATTTTTTCATTTTACTCCCGATGTAAAAGTAAATTTCAAAAATAAACGAAATTTGGAATTTGAACGTATACCAATTTAATAAATATATTATTATGAAAGGTGCAAATTAGATAATTATGATTTAATCGTGTTCTCGCGTAATGTGACTAATAAATTTAATTTAAAGATGTTACAACTTTATGAAAAAAAAAACAAAAAAAAATAAAAAATAAAAAAAAATTATTTCAATCCCATTCTATTTTTATTATATGACAATAATAGAATCTCGAAGTGGGAGCAACCCCTTTTATCGACCAACTTTTTTCTATTGAAAATTTTTTAACAAGGTTCCCTATTTCATGAATTTCACCATGAAAAGTAAATTGAAATTTTTTCAAAGGTCTTTTAATACAATGTAAATAATCTTCCAACAATTTGATGTTAATCACCCACTTGGAAATGTCAAGTTTACGAACATTCTTAGGAATCTTTAGAAAGAATTCTCTAATACATTCATCTATCATCCAATACTCATCATCATCCCCAAAATAGTTGCAAATTTTAAGAACTTCCAATTTTTGAAATTTATCATCAAAGTATTTAATCAATTCATCCAACTCATTTCGAGATTGAATCCTGAATGTTAACGACACAAGATTCGGACAAGAGGTTGCTATCGTTTGAATGAGACTTAATGAATGTTCGGAATCCACCATGAAAACGCATTTGCTTAAATATTTACCAACGTTAGTGATTAATGATAAGGGTATTGAATGGTTAATTTCATGATCAATAAAATAAGGATCATAAATTTTTAATTTTTTTAATTTAGGAAAATTCCCTTCATACACGGAATAAAAATCAATGCATCCGAATTCCAATTCTTCAAGATTTTGACATTCTCCCAAGAAATTCAAGCAATCAAGATCAATATCAGTAAACCATATTTTGAATGTTCTTAAAGAATGAGCTTGAGTAATTAAGGAATTATGAATGTCCGCAAGTCTGCTTCCTTCATAACCATCAAGGGCCACGTGCTCAAGGTTATTTTGTGACTTAATGAACTGGATTAACCCATCCTCCCCCATGCAATCGGATATATGGTATTGAAATCCGATGTGAATTGATTTAAGGTTGTTTGTTATCTTTGAGAATTCTTCTAATATTTCTGGACAATTCCTATCATAATAAAAATTAATCAGTTCCAATTGATTAAGAAAACCTGGATTCGAGGATATGATTTCCTGATAGAATGGTTTAAACATATCATACATAACCATATAGGGTTTATCCAATATCAAAGATTTTAATGCATTATTATTCCTAGAAATTACATGATAAATTGCATCAACAAATGCGATCCTCTCTTGATTTATGAAGAGCGCTTTGGGAGTGATCACTTCCATATACTTATAATCATTAAACTTTGCTATGTATTCTTTTTCATGAGTAGTGAAATAATCAGGAGCTAGTATTGGTCGAATCTTTTCCTTTCTATTAATCCATTCTTTAATCAAGAACACGATAGCTTTAAAATTTAACTCTTTTATAAATGAAGGGTAATCGAATAAAACCTTTGCTTGAATTTCAAGTCTTGCGTCGGTAATGTTCAAATATTGTTTCCTTTCATCATCAAGGAATGCAAGGATGACTGAAATGATTTTGTAAAGATTTTTAAATCGAAGTTTATTGTGAAAAGGTTTTTTCCAAAGCAGCATAATACTATTTTGACACCAGTCTCGGTTAACTAATATTAGGGATTGAAATGTGTTAAAGTCATCATCATTTATATAATCAAAGATTTTCTGTAACGTTTCTGGCGGTAAATTAAAAGCCATTTTTTTATTTTTTGAATTAAGAAATGGATGTGATGATTTTTTTTAGTTCATGTTTCATTCAATTTTTTATATCCTATTGTTAAATTAAACTTACTTTAACTGGTTAACTTTTGTTGCACATTTGAACATTAGATTCCTAATCCGGTTAATCCGGAATTTTTCAAATCGTCTGACTTTATTATTATAAGTTCCTTTTTAAAATATGAAAAAAAAAAACGAATATATTTTTTTTTTTTTTTTTTTTTTTTTTTTTTACAAAAATGTTTATTTAATTCACGCATTTATAAATTCTTTTTTTTTTTTTATTTTTCTTTTTTCTTTTGCTTTTTCTTTTCTTTTTAGCATTCTCGATAAATTCTTTTTCGGTAATGGCAGGAATACCATTTGAACAAAGTCCGAGAAGAAAATAACAAATTATAAAAGTACTCATCATTGAACCATTACTTTCTCCAAAAGTCAACGGTTTGGAACATTTTATAAAGATTACGAGTAAGAAACGTTGCAGAGTTTTTTTTTTGGCAAAAGCTATTTACCAATTAACTTCCCATTTTATTTTTTTTTTATCTTGGGAAAAATAACTGTGGGACATTATATATGAAGGAACCCACATTCTTTTACGTTAAATGGTGATTTAAGGACCTGAAAGTGAAAAATGTTCAACAAAAGACCTTTATGAGATGATAAATAGAAATTATTTAAATTACAAACCATGGCCCCTGATTTTCCCGCATCAAAACAAATGGTAGGATTTGTGTTTTATACCACAAACTAGTCTTTATTAAGGTCAATAAAGAAAAGTTGTTTGATGTACTAGGAGAATAAATGAATGGTTAAAAAAAGTAAAGCATGTACAGAAGGAGCGTGAATTTCATAGAATTAATCTGAACATTCAATCCAAATTGCCCTTTTTTCATAAACAGGTAAAGGATTATCAATGCTTCTAGAGAAGACAACGATAAAGGAATTCTTATGAAATTAAATAATTGGCGTTGCGAGAATCCTTTGGAACTATCTCAAAAAATTTGCAAAAGTTGGGTGTCTGGTTGTTAATCTTGCAGTCACGAATAGGAATTAAGGATAGAACGATGAGTCCGGATTCATATGAAAATCTTGAAAAAATATCGTTGTATCCAAATTATACCGATATTTAATATATTTGTTCTCTTATATGGTGGGAAAATATTATCGTTATATCGAGGTCAAAAATTTTGCACGAGACATTTTACATTATATAATAAAGAAGTCAATTATCAAAGTTTAAGACTTTTTTATAACGCGTTTTTAATTGATAAAATTACGGATGGTCCGTTCTTTATAATAAATGAAGTTGAATACTCCAAATTTAAAATTTGGCGGAATGGATTATTTTCGTGCAAATTTATTTATAAAAGGTTTATTTTTATCGTTTGGTGGATGCAAAAAAAGGCAGACCAAAGTATTAAAGCGTTAATTATCAAATTTCGAATAAACGAAAGGATAACGTTTGACAAATCATGATGAAAAGTCGCGATGCTAATTGTACAGTATTTTCAAGATGCACCGAAAATAGAATTACAAACCCTTTTTTGACGGCTAAAAAATTTTAAAAGACGAGATTGGTCATTTTCTTATCATGTATCCTATTGGATCGTTTTTTTTTTTTGTTTGTCGCCCGCAAAGGAACCTTTTTCGGTCAAAAACAAGCATTAAACCATAACGTAAAATTCCTATTACACGTCATTTCAACCGCAAAAAAAAAAAAAAACGCGCCATCAACTATTACGTACGCATCGAGCGATGAGGAATTGTGATAAGGATTACAATCAAATGTTTTTATAATACAAAGATACAAAATGATTTTAAAGGTATTCGGCGGGGTTTTTTTTTTTAAAGTTTCGGCAAGGTAAGTATTTGTTTTTTTTTTTTATTTACATAAACCAGTTGTTTAATCATAATCTCAAAAAAGGTTCTGAAATCTAAAATTACTAAAAATATACTTGCAACAAAATTTCATTGAAAAAGGTTTTATTGTAGTTATCATTCCAACGTTGACAATGAGTAATCCAAAAAAAAACATTCATGACAAATCATTCCTTTTTTCGACCGACAAAATCCATAAAAATCAATATATCCCAACAAAGGATAGGGTAATGCTTAATGGAAAACACAAAAAAAAAAAAAAAAAAAAGATTTTTAATTGAAAAATTGGGCGAAATCTAAAGATAAGAAAAAAAAAAAAAAAAATCATTAAATATTGATTTAAGACTTATTATGTAAACAAAAGGAAAAAAAAAAATTGTCCTTAACGCGAATATTTTTAGTAAGTTCCTTGAACCGATTCCGTCTCACAAAAACCCTATTTTTAAAAATAGATTTTCATCATGATAAAAATAAAACTGGACCAAAACCGACATGGAACGGTTTATCGCGTAATATCATTGAAAATGGTGACTAAGAACATCAGGATTGGGGCCAATATAAACCATTCGGTGTTTTGTTTATAACCAAAATTAGACAAGGGTTTAACCACATCATTTGCGATGATGCGATTATCATTCATTTAATAGAATTAAATTATTCCTCATTTAATTAACGGTTCGATCGAAATGTAAGCTTTTTCTTTTTTAAAAAAACCCCCCATGTTTTCTGAAATGTACCAATCGTTAAATAAGACTTCCCTTTAGATCATTTGATCGAAGGGTTGAAGCCACCTTGTAAATTAATAAGCCACATAAACTAATGAAACCTGTACCAGAGCAGCTCCGAACCATAACACATTTGTTATTTACATTAATTACATTAATTTCCCTCTAAAAATGATTCACATTTTATAAGCTAAATAAATTAATGCCCGGTTAGATCACACGGGCTAGAAAAGTTTACAATGTGACACGAAACAATCAACAATCAACAAACAAGGCAAAAAGGAGGAGGAAAAAAAAGAAGAAAAGAAAGTGTCATGTAATCTTTTTTTTAAAATTTAAAATTTTTCCTCTCACATGACGGTAACACGACTTCACGGGCAAAGATTCTTTTTTTAACGTAAAGAGGTAGAAAAAACACTCGTCTATGAAAATATTTATTATCTATTATTATTCTGTGAGAATCGACGAGATATTTTTAACCCTAACGTTTTTAATTTGTCTATTTTTAGATGTTTAAATAAATAAACAAAAAAAAAAAAAATTGCAGATTTTTTTTTTTTTTCTCGGACCTAACACGGGAAAAATTTTAAACAATATAATTGTTCTTAAATGCAAATGCAACTTCATTTACTGAATTTGACCTTGTCGATCGAGATTAAAAATAACTTTATTTCAATAAGTAGTGCCTAATGAAATATTTTGCGAGGAAAATGAAAAGAAAGATCTAAAATTAAAAAAGTTTCAACTAAAAATAAAAAAAAAAAGAATTCCAGAAACTAAAAACAACTTTCTATTTAAACTTTAACAAGAATATGTTAAAAAATTTTTTTATTTTGTTAAAAAAAAAATATATATATATAACAAAACCAAATAAATAATAAATACATACTACACCACATGAACAAAAGCTTCAAGTATACCACACATTTTCAGCTTTTTATGAATTCAATTCTAATTTTGTGTGAATCCGCGAATGTTTTGTTAATAAAAATTTTTTTTTTTTTTCTCGGAGTTGGACTTCCGGATTAAAATTATTCGTTCATCAATAATCATCTTGTGACGCGTTATATTTTTCAAAGTACGTTGTAAAGAAGCGTTTTGAAAAATATTGCTTTCATATAAGAAAAGATTACATCAATTGTTGGTCATTCATAATAATCTAAAATAAATAAATAAAGAAGCTAAAAATAACCAATGATAAACATATCATACATACCATACATACCACCTTCCCTTTTAATAGTATTCCTTCTATACTTGAACGAAGCCGTCATCGCTTTCCTTTATCGTATCAATTGTGAAGTGACACCTTTTAAAAAATTAATTCGAATCAGAGATCCAGAAATCTCTTACGATCATCTCGAGTTCTCTTTGAACCCGGAATTAGATGAATTAGATCATCTTAATGGAATTAAATCCTTCTTTTCCACTTTCTTTCGCCAATAATTAAATATTTTCCATTAATGGATTTATGATGATTTTAAAAAAAAAAAGAAATTAGTTCAAAAGAAAGAAAATTTTAAAGGGGGAGGATAACGTGAAGCTTTGCAATTATGTTTTTGATCTGCAAGTTAAAATAAAATAAAGCTTATGTGAGATTTAAAAACAGAGAATATTGAAAAAATAAAATAAAATCTTTAAAAAATTTTTTTAAACTTCCCATGTGATATTTTACAAAGTTATGACGTCATAAAATTATAACTGCACAACTTTTCTTTGTAACCAGCAGAAATTTCCTTTTTCTCGTGGAATAAAAGGTAATCCAGCCGTAACTAATTCTATTTGGCTGAAACAATAAAAAAACCACTAACTATTGAAAAGTTTTTGCATCTTATCACGCATGAGCATGCCATTATTTTTGTAGCCTCACTAATGAAACCTTTTACTAGAGTTTTAGCCCAGTTTTAGAAACTATTAAGTTTGAATGTTTAGATATGGTTAGGTATCTCATTATAAAAAAAAAAAAAAAATTTATCTTGCGAAATTTATTTTATTTATTTACAAAAAAAAAAAAGTGAAAAAGTTACAGTTCAGAGGAAAAAAAAAAAAATAGAGTAAAATTTTGTGGTTTGAATTGAAATAAAATATATACGAAATAAAAGATTATAATTTATACAAGAAAGAATTTGATTCTTAACTATATTACATAAAAATAAAAGATAAGGAATAGGCTAGGTGAAAATTAATAAAAGAAAAAGAAGAGAAAAAAAAGATTTATCTTTTCGATTACAATCCTAAGAAAAAAAAACACGTTCTTCTTTGAAATTATTATTCATTGGTCAATTAAATCTTTCGTTTATCTATGATCAAATTAAATTCCTCGACTAACGAGATTCTATCACTTGAAAAATCTGATAATTTCTATGTTACTTTTACGTATGTTGAAATTGGTTACTTTGATTTTTGTACTTTAAAGTCGTCAAGAAAAATTTGCTGAGGAATGTCTTTTACTTTTTTTTTTTTGTCAAAAAAAATAAAGTCCAACATTAATATGAATAAAAAGTATGAAAAGCGATACGTAATTATAATAGAAAATATTTCAAGAATTCCATTTCAACACGAGATTATCTATCTAATATAATAATGTATTTTTTCTTTAAATTTTATCGTTAAAAACTGTTGAAGGAGTTGCAAATGATTGTCCGGAATATAAATGATATAAGTCGGAAGACTGAAGTGAAGTTTGAGCATTTATGGATTCTGTGGGATAAGCTGGAGCGGCGAATCCAGCTTTCTCAAAGAATCTATTTTCATCGAGTTCTGACGAGAATAATAGAGAAGAAATATCATCAAATGAAGAAGCATCAGAAGGTGACGAAGAAGTTGAACAAGGTGACATTGATTCCATTGATTCCAAAATTTGAGAGTCCAAACCGATGAGGCCTGGGGAGTTCATCAAGTCTTCCAAAGGTGAAGTCGGGGAATATGATGGACTATAGCAATGTGGGGTTTGTGGAAGATGGGTTGGGGAACGAATATTTGAAAGATCGTCATGAATCGAGGGAGAAATGTTTTGGGTCCAGGGGAAAAAATTTGGATCCGTAGCGAAACAATTATCTTGATGCACGATCGGGTTATCAATCTTTGCCGATGAAAGGGACGAATGTTCAAGGGAATATTTGGCGAGCTCAGACGTCGTACCAATGGAAAAGGGGGCTATATCGCCACCATTCACGGGGGGTTCTTTTGTAAAATTTCGTTGAAATGCGTTCGGAGCAGAAATCGAAAAGGATTGAAGTAAACGATCATAAATATTAAAATCATTAAAGAAGTCATAATTCGAGGCATTTAGTTGAGGTTGATGAGTCTCGTTTAATTTAGGAACCGAAATTTCGGGTTCGAGTTTTGAAGAATATTCCTTCAACGTGGGACGTTGAGTTGGCAAATATTTATAGTTGATCTGTGGTTGGGTGTTCCCAGTCTCACGAACGTACATTTTCTCAGCATCACTTGAAAGTTTCGTGTAGGTTTCTTTAACATACTCTGGTTCTTTCTTCCAAGAGGTTGAAATCATTGGAGATAACTCGGTCATGGAAATGTGATAATTTTTCGATTTCAGGAATAAAACGTACTCATTACGATACATGATGAATGCATTGGGGAATCTTGCCAATCTCGGTTTCGCGACGAGTTTTGTTACGATTTGTTCAACTTTTTGAGTGGGCGGAAAGGGAAGTGGCAATGGAGGCAAAGAAGGTGAAGGTTTCTTAATATCAAGTTTGATCTTTTGTTGACCTTGTCTCATGGTACGAATCTTTGTTTGAGCATCCGAAGATCGTTTTGAAGCTTTCTTATTTTGAGTCATCTTGCTTAAATGTTTGTTTTTTTTTTTTTAAAAAAAAAAAAATAAAAGGAAAATATTTGAACTTGACCGTTAGGAATAAAAAATAAAATGAAATTTAATTTAATTTTATAATTTAATTTTTTTTTTTTTTTTTTTTCTTAGCACGAAAGCGTTAAAAGGTTGATTAAGGGTGATACTTATAGCTCATTAAAAAAAAAGGGGGGAAAAACAAAAAAAAATAAAATAAAATAAAACAAACGTTACGAGAGATGAAAAAAAATTTTTTTTTTCCGTCTCTTGAATCTGACGTGCTGCAAATATTTGATTTTATATCCAAAATATTTCATATGTTAGAAAATCTGATTGGTTCGTACTTTAAAATTCCAATCAACGAATAAATTATTATATTGATTACGTTTTTGTTTTTTGGGTTTTCATTTAGTTGATAACTTGGACAGGGAAAATTTTAACTTATTGTATAAAATTGTTTTTATTTCTATTTATAGCGCTTAAACAAATTTCAAAATTTGTCCAAATTAGGGAAGTTTGGGCTATAAATATTTCTTACAATTTGCAACTGAACTACTTAGAAAGACAATCTAATTGTCATCCTATAATCGGAAACTTTCGCTAAAGGGAACATTGAAAACTTGATCCGAATGTATAAATTTAGTATTCTTACCAACTACACTTGTGTTAGGTCCAATCTATTTAATCATAATGTCAAAATTTTCAAGTGACAAGTGAAAAGATTTCGGCAAAGGAAGGGAGGATTTGTTTTTATATTATTTTATTTTATTTTATTTTATTTTATTTTTTTTTTTTATGAAACATAAATAAGTAATTATATAATGATCAAAAAAAAAAAATAAAATAAATAAATAAATAAAAAATAAAATAAAATAAAATAAAAAAAATAAACAATAAAAAAAATAAAATAATGATGATATAAAAAAAAAAAAAAAATAGAGACATTTAAAAAATTCGTTGGGAATCAATTAAAGGGCGCATGTTGATATTTACTATTTTTGATATTAAAAAAGGTGTGTGTGTGTGCAATATCAAAATTTTGCGGTAATTTCAAAAAAAGTTAAAAATCAATTGCAAATCATTTATAAATCAAATTCTAAATTTGGTGAGACGAAATTCTGACCGCATACAAATAGAATACCCGAGAAACAAATTTTTTTTTTTCAAATCCTTACCATTTCTTTCTTTCTCTCCTCTCTCACAATCTACTCACCTACAATACTGAAGTCGGAGTACCGGAGTTAATGGTTGTTGGCGGGTGTAAAAATAGGAAAAATGTGATAATACAAAAAGGTGTGATCTGGATTGAACCTTTTTAGATTGACAGGTATTTTTAGATTTTATTTTCAAACTAGTATAATTTAAGTAAATAAACAATACCGTTACACAAGAATCATCATCGTTAATGAAAAAAACACTGACCACCTAATCATCACATTAATCGCTTACTTTATGCAGATTTCATAGTAAAAATAAATAAACATATTCGGATCTCGTAGGTTAATTTATCAAAATGCTTTACCACAAAAGTCTTTCAAAGGTGAAGGACACGAGAGAATGATACGGTTCTCCAAAAATAAACCGATATGGTCCCAAAAATGTCATCACAACATCACTCATTTTGTACTCGCAAGGTTGATTTGTCAGCCGGGTATATCGAACCGGATCAATTGATTGTTGCCGAAATGTTCAACTTTTGAGACTGCGGTGCGGCAGCCAGGTGCCATCTTGGCTGTGTATATTTCATGAGGCGTTTACCAATGGCGTCGTAAGTAAGGAAAACAAAAAAAAAAACGTTTTGAACGAGTTATTTCCTGAATAAATTATTTACTTTTAAGGACATCACTATCGTGTTATGTTTTTAAGGTTTGTAGTTATGGTTAAATAATCCGGAAAATAAATAGGAATTCTTATGCATCACACATGTTGATGAAAGTGTAAAAGATCATCATTTGTGAGAGACAAACAAACAGTATCATTTGAGATAAACAAGCATCAAATGTATTTTTTTTTTTTCTCACATATCACAGAAAATTTTCTAGTTAAAAAATTAAATAGTTGAAATACAATTATTTTTATTTTTTTTATTTAATCTTGTAATACGGTTTACTTTATCTAGACCTACATGCAAGGTAATCATTAAAAAATTTATGAGAGAATATTAAGTTAAGAACATCTTAATTAGGATTTGTCTATGGGGGTCATAGACAAAGAAAAACTATTTCAAATATTCATTCCTCAACAAATATCTATACTAGTATGAAACGCATTGTATTTGGAATCATGATGATTATTATTATCTTTTCCCTTCTTAAGTGGTTGTGTTATAATGTGAAAAAAAAAAAATCGGCAAACCTGTTTGATGACCAAATCGTACATTTAATTGTTCAACAAATAACGCCGACCTTGCCCAAATTAAAACAACCCCGCATAAATCCCATGAACTTGAATTCTAAATCGGAATCTTACCTAATAAGGTTTTTGAAGTCCCTTTTTTTTTCAATTACTCTTAAAATTTTCCTTCCCGATGATTATTTTATAATAGTATGATTTGTACAATTATGACAAATTTATTATATCCGAAGGGTATTGTCTAATGGTGATAGTATGAAAGAGAACGCAACAGGTTGGTTCAAGAACTATAAAATTCTCATAGGCTTGGCTTTGTTATGAGGACTTTTTATTTTATTTTATTTTTTTTTTACCCCAAACAATAGAAAATTGATGGATTTTCTTATTACATGGTTTTTTCCAAGATTGTAAGTTGCGGGCGGTGGGTGTGCAGATGACAATAATGTTTGAAAAGGAAATTACGTGTGATGACAATTATTCGAAGATTTAATGCGGATTACAAATGTCAAAAGGGAAATCGCGTGTGAACGAAAATGTTTTTTGAGTTTTTGTGGTACGTGGCAAATCCTGTGATCTGTGAGTGTGCATCCGCAGTAGGAAATACAAGAGACAATCATCGTTTCCCATCATTTATGAATTTCTTTTATGCATGCATGATCGGTGGATGTTCAACACAGTTCCAATAGTTTACCGAATTTTGGCAATCAAGTTTTCATACCTGAAACACAATCTTATGTACAAATAAATAGAGTTTTGAGCTATGATTGTAATGGACTGACAACATAGAAATCCTCGTATCACGTGAAAAAACAAGAAACGAAGATTTCTATGACGTATAACGGAAGAATTAAAAATTTTTTGAAGTGTGAAAAAGCGAGCTCAAAACTTTCTGACAGTCTATAAATATTTGCAAGAATTAAAAAATCTATATAGAAAATTTGTTGTGACCTTTTCATACTCATGCTTAATTGGTCCACGCTTTATCCTTTCTGGGATCCGATCAAGAGAATTTTTTTTTTACTATGAAAGTTTTCACATTATTAAAAAAGTGACTTGCTTTGTCATTCTCTTTTTTATATGGGACTATGTCTTTTTTGACCTTGAACCCTTCGGATCGCTGTGAGTGCCATGACATCATAACCGTCATTTAGATCATGTATCGTGCCGTGAAGATTTCCATTAACCGATGTCTTCTCGAACATTCCAAGGGCAATCCCTTTGGCACCTTTCCCGATAAACTAAACTATTATATAATCCGGTTCCCCACATTATCAGATGATTTGGGCTAAGAGAACGCGTGTGAATTATGGGAATTCCAAGATTATTTATTATGCTCCCTTTTGTTTTGGTAAACATTAAAATTTAAGGCGAAAACCAGTATTTTTTCTCGTTTGAGGCGCTCATGACGGAACCTTCTGGTTATATATTTCACATGGATCTGTATTTAGCTAGCCGTCACGCCCGCTAATTACCTTGCAAATTTTTCGAAATGCGTTTTCATCACACCACTAGATCAAATGTGGAATCATTTCCTTAAAATTAGAGATGAAGATAAAAATTTTTGTCTAAAAATGAAACGCACTAATTCTCATGAATGTTTCTCTAAATCGGGAACAATTTCACCCTTAAATATATATGTAAAGATAAAAAAGAAAACCCATACCTGAAATGTATTACAAGAAAAAAAAAAAACAAGAAATAGCTCTGATCAAACTCACGAGGATTTCTTACAAATGGCGAATTGTTTGCTTCAAAAAGCCTAGTTATATTATAATTTTCCCATTAAAAAAATTCCTTTCAAAAACCCCTTTGGAGATTTCTTTAGATTATGTACCAAGTTTGTTAAAAATAGCTGCGCTCCATCATTCGTTCTTTTAACATGATGTTGATCTGATCTTTAATTAATTGTTTTTAATTTAATAAATTTTATATTGTGTACTGCGGTACCTCCCTTTAACTATATAAAATAAAATAATAAACCTAATTAATCTGACATGTTGTGACCTTATCGGGTTCGTTACAATCCCTTTTACACAAAAAAATCTGATTAATTTTATGATTACCAATTTTGGGAAATCAACCATTTAGTTTAAAGGATCCTAAGCTAGCATTTTTATTAAAAAGGATATATCCTTACACAAGGAATAAAGTCTAATATTCCCCAACTCTTTGTTTCAAGCCATTTTTGGTATTTCCACAGAAAATCAAAAATCTAATCAAAAAAATAAATCTCTTTGATTATTACTCAAGGAGGAAATGTGAATAAAATTTTTTTTTTTTTTTTTAAGTAATTATATATGAATTAAGAAAATACTTGTTTAATTTATTCGAAAATATCACCTGTTGCTTTTGACCATTAAAAAAAAAGTGAGAATTAAGAATTTTATTTATTTCTTATTGCAGTTTTATTTATTAGCCGAATATATTGTTTTTTTTTTTGCTTCTTACTTTATTGATAAAAAATTTTTGGCCCGTAAAAATCATAAGACGCAAAGAAAAAATTCCGGGTCACAATGTAGGAATGAAATATCGCGTAGAATACTTTACATGTGACAAAACAAAAATTGGTAATTAAAAAAAAAAAATTATTTCACGTGCGTGTTTCAATTATTTAAACTGTCGGACTGATTCATGGTAGCGGGGACATGCACGATCTCATTTTGTGCACCATTTTTAACAATCGGAAGGATTAATATGGAAACAAAAAAATTTTTTTGACGAATTTCAAGTATAAATTTACTATATTAAAAATAAAGGGTTCATTTTTTATTAAAAAAAGCCAATTCCTTGGGGATCTCTGACATCGACTCTTGTTAAGTATTTTCTCTATGAATTCATACTAATTAGATATTCACGTTTTTTCCCATTATTAAAAAAATATATAAATAATCGCAACGTTTCAGCTTGTTAAAAAAAAATATCTTTTTTCGCGTCCACCCTGGAATCTGACGATATATGATATAAAATGTCTTGCCAGTTAAAAAATAATTATATTTAAACCTTAACATTTGAAAGATTTTAAGAGAAAATTCATACGCTGATTATTTTAAAGTTGAAAATTGCAAAGAGATAATGTCTTTTATCGATGGAATGGAATAATTTGGTGAAGAATGAGATTGGCGAGACCATTCGCATTTGAGAATAAGCGTGAAAATAATCCACCAATTACCTTTAATTATATTTATAATTAAAAAAAAAAAAAATTTGGTTGAAACTAAAGCATTGAATTGAAAAGAAATATGGATAATTACCAACACAAAAGATTGAATGAGATACTCATCGAACGTCTCATAATGATTGGCGTAATGATATGATAATTGCACTATGACTGAATTATCGTGAAATTTAAACAAAAAGTGAACATTTTAACATTTTAAGTAAAGCAAGCCCGCGTAGAAATATTTTTTTTTTTGAAAAAAAAAAAAAAAAAAAAAAAATTGTAAGATATATAACACACACCGAAAATCGCTATGATTTTACCGAATAACATCCAATGTATAATAGCTAGCAACGGAATCGCATAAATTGCGCAATTTCCCAAAAGATTTTCATCTGAAAAAAGAATTTCAAACATTTAATTTTGCTTCAATTATCCAAAACGAGAAAGAAATATATTACCATAAAGCCAGCTAGCGGAATCAACAACAGCGTTTAATGGTTTTAATATTTTCACAAAATCTTGATGAATTTCTCTTGCGTCACTTAACGTTTTTGTCAACGATTGAATTTCATTTTGTGAAATGCCAAGTAAATTATGAAAATTTTGGCTTGTTTCTTGTAATATGTTATACCATTGATTTGATAATTCGCGATGCTTATACTAAAGATAATTAATTTTTTTTTTTTTAAAAAAAAAAACCCGTGGTAAAAGTCGTCGTTAATCTTTTTTTAAAAACTTTCATACCTTGATATCTTCCATGTTGTCGTACGCTTGCTCTTGTGATGATAGCGTGTCTTGTGCTACGGAATTAACCTTTTGCAGATACTAAATTCAGAAAGAAACGAGAAATACAAAGATTTCCTATTAAAGTGCTTTTAGATATTTCATATCATAAATAATATTTACCTGAATAACTTGTTGAGCCATGTCTTCAGAATCAACCTTTAATTAAACACGTAAACACGTAAAAAAATTAACGAATGTGATAATGAAACGAATTTAAAATGATTATTGTACTTACTAATATGCTCAATTGTTGATTATTTGCGTTGTTCATATCATCAAAGGTCTCTCTCATGTTTAAACTAAATTTCTCGAACTCCTAAAAGCGTTAAAGGTTAAAATCTTAAAGAATTCATAAACTCTCGTTTATTTTCGATAAAAACTTTACCTCTTTAAAATGTATTATTAAATTTGAAATGCTTCGAGCTATTAGTTGAGAATCCGACAAATCTTTTTTTAATGATCCTGTATTATCAAACATCATTTCCTTTGTCATTTTACCATTTTAAATAGATTTTTTTCGCACGTTAGCTTTAACTTTTTTTTAAAAAATTTATTATTACTATTATTATTGAATGCTAACCTTAAGTTCTTTATGAAGTTGTTTAATTTGTTTCATTTCTTCTTCACGGCAAGTGTCCTTTTCATTTTGCTGATGTTTTAATATTTTATAAATGACACTAATGATTCTATGAATTTCTTCCAGTGAATCTTGTAATAAAATAAAGTTTGAGCTTTTTAACTTAGTATATCAACTGTAAACAATTTAATTTGTTTCGAATTACCTCGCTTAACAGAACATCTCACTGAAACGCACATTTGAACTACGTTTTCGGAAGAAAAAAGTCGAATATGGTCGTTTATTGTAGCATGCAAATTGTAATAGCATTTCATCTTTTTAAATTGATACGTACAAGCTTCATTATGATATCTATCATAGGTTACCCAAAGTTGAGGAATTTTCGAAATAGCTCTACAAAAAAAAAGATAGAGAAAACATTATAATCATAAAAACCTAAAGCATTAAAAACGAACTTTTTTACGGTACGCACTCAACGCATCTCCCGACATCATAATTAATATCTTCACATTCCATAGGGGCAGCAAAGTTAGCAATAGCAAGCTTGCATTTAGTTAGTCGAACCGCATCTTAAATTCAAAAAGTCGCTTTAAAGTTCGTTTTAAGTAGGGGTGAAAGTGAACATTGCTTTATTTACATTGGATCTTATCATTATCGGATAAATTTAAACTTTTGCAACCATCTTTTAGCGCCGTCGTAGCTTCTTTAAAACAATCAGGTTTCCTTTCGAATTGTGACAACAATGCTAACACATTTATTTAATAAAAAAGTTAACAATTGATAATAAATAAATGAAAATTAATTAGATATTACTTTGACCATGTTCAAAGATCATCCTTTCGTCATTCGGAAAGTATTCTAAATATAAAAGTAGATTAAAAATAATATCATTGTACTAAATTCGCATCGTATACAGCACCTGATGGGTCATTATCTTCCACTGGTAAAGATGGTAATTTCTCAGCCGGAGGGTTGATACTTTTCTCATTGCCACCGTAAAAACTCCAAAAGTTCAATCTACCATTTTCAATGAATCCAAAAAT